TCCCAAGTTTATCCACAAAGCTGATTGCAGATGACTCGGCTACAGCTCCAGAAATCCTCGATTCCAATCTTAATTTTTCCAAACGCTCATTTAATGGGTGTTGTAAGCTGCTGTCTGCAGTTGTAGTTCTGTCTTGCTGCACAAGTGACTATAACAGTTTTTCTCACCCTTGGCCACTTGAGGATGGGTGGACTTCAATGCCAAGAATTCCCCAGCCAGCATGGCTGGCTGGAGAATTCTGGGTGTTGGAAATCCACCCATCTTCAAGTGGCCAAGGTTGAGAAACACTGTTATAGTCACTTGTGCAGCAAGACAGAACTACAACTGCAGACAGCAGCTTACAACACCCATTAAATGAGCGTTTGGAAAAATTAAGATTGGAATCGAGGATTTCTGGAGCTGTAGCCGAGTCATCTGCAATCAGCTTTGTGGATAAACTTGGGACTGCCTATTGATTTAACTCTGCCTCATTGCCTTCCATAATTCTGGACTTACGTGCAGTTTGTAATCCTTTGCCTGTTTACTCGTAAGAAGGCCCACCACATTCAGTAAAGACATCAGGTCAGGGTGAAAAACATTAGTAGCTCCTTGCCAAAAACTCTTTTATCGCTTCAACGAATCTCCCTTCAGTGCAACTGCAAAAGGCGAGTGTCCGAGAGACCAGCTCTAAATGTATTTAGGAAAAGCCACCTCTCAGAGGGAAATCTATACATATTATGGGGAGAGAGGAACATTCCCAAAACAAACCAACAAAAAAAGTTTAAAAAAAATACGCACACAGAAAACAAACAGAAGTCTGTTTAGTATGTAAACCTTCATCTGAAAAATTATCCGGAGCCCGAAAAAGCAGGAAGGAATGAGCAGGAAAAAAATAGGCCTGGGTTGGATTTAGGAATGCAAAATAGGAAGAAAGACGGTTTGTGGCCCCAAGTAGCTTTCGTTCAAGTGGGTGTCCTCTAGCTACGTTAGATTTCCACTCCAATAGTTCCCAGCCAGGAAGATGGTTGGAATTGGAGCACGATAGCACCAAAGGACCCCAGCTGAAAAAGACCAGATTTTGGTCAGGGGGGGTAAAAATCTGCAAAATGGCGGCACAGCTTTGATCACAACGCTACGCCCACCATGTTGCAGATTTTGATACCCCAGACAGCCCTGGCCAGACCACTACACAACCAGGCTAAGCATTAGCCCAGTGTTTCTCAACCTTGGCCACTTGAAGAGGGGTGGACTTCAACTCCCA